TTTATTTTTTTTTCTTGAATATATTATAAACTCCTTGACAAGGTGCTTGACAAAGTGAATTTGTTGAAAATTTTGATTACTCCAACTGTGGAAGACAGTTACTGTTATGAATTTTAGAGAAGCTGTGGAAAAGTGTAATGAAAATCTTACGTGAAGAATCTTTGAAGCAGGACAGGTGAGCAGCCCGGGTAAATCCAAAGAGAATTTTCTATTCACGCACGTAAGCGCAGGATGTGTGCATGTGCGCTGAGGGGCGCCAAAGAGGGCGTGGCAGATTGGTGGTAATATATGTACGTGTATGGAACAGCTGTTACACACACACGCAGAGAGACAGAGAGAGAGAGAGACATAGTCAAAGTCAGTTTCAAGTATTTGCAATAAAAAAAATAATGACCGTTGTAAGTTTGTTGTTGGGAGTAGCTGAAAAGCTGAGAGCACAAAACTGACTGACAAAACCTCAACATGCCACTAAAAGCATAATCATGCACTTAACTAAAGCCAGCTGTGCTTATGTGTGTGTGTGTGTGTGAGTGCTGAGGGGCAGCCCAGGTGTGGGTGGAGTCGTTGTTACGCACGTAGAACTTAAGTCATCATCATACAAATAAAAATTTATGACTTTAAATGCGAATGTGGAGAAATGTGTGTGTGCGTGGTGTGTGTGGGAATATGTTGTGGTTATGTGTGTGCGGTAGACCCACAAGTCAGTTGGCTTAGCCTGGTATTTGCTCTGTTTGTTAAAATACCACCTGATTTGCACGTGCATCTGCTTCTACATTGCTCGCCTTTCTTTTACAGCTCACATACACTAATATGGGGTATTATAAAATAGTCACGATTTGTATAATGCACATAAAATATATATAAAAGTTGATCAATGTCCTGTTGCCAACACATATGCTTGGCGAGACTTAATAAATTCTTAAGATATTTTTTATTTTTCCTTTTTTTTACTGCAGTTGCATCTCGATGTTGAGTGAGGCAGACTTTACTTGCTTTAAATTTTAGTCAGTGTCTTGTATATAGTATTCATCTACACAGAATATAAGATCGATCACTAATAATCGACAATTCATATTTAGATTTAGGTTGTTTGGTTAGTCAATCAAATGACTCTAGTTAAGAACTGACTCATGGTCTTTCGATTATTGATGTTTTATATATATTTACTGTCTGCATATATATATATATAGTAATATATAGCCTTGGTAGACCCTACAAACAAACGCTTTTGTCATGCCTCAATCAAATGTCTTTGGAAGAAGATAACAAATTTCCTTCAGACTGATTCATTTATATATATAAAAATTAAGGCATTTATAACTCAGAGTTAACTATAAATATAGCTATTTTAAGTATGACTTTACTTTGCTAATATATTTCCTTAACATAATTATATCATTTCAATTTAAATATTCTTTAAATTAAAATAATATTTCTTGTGCCCTACTAAAGACGCACTCCGCACAGCGAAAGTTGCCTAGTTGCAATATTCAAGAGCTTAACTGGAAGTTAAATTTGTGACTGGCATTCCTTTGGCTATGTGAAAATGCGCTGACATTCACTTAAATGGAAAGCAGCGCAAATTCAGTTGGGAAAAAATATGAAAAAAAAAGCAAAACACAAAAAAAAGAGAAGAAAAGAGAGAAAAGGAAAAACTACAATACAAAGCTGCTTGTGAGCTACTTTTCAAGTTAAAGTTATTATCCCAGGGCGAGTCGGCCGGGAAGTCGGGCAGGGGGCGTGGCAGCAGCCACTTGCAGACTTGCCAGACTTTTGAATAAATTTTCAATCTGCCTGCTGACAACGGGAACAACAACGACAATCAGCATTATGAATATGTAGCGACATCATCTTGACTTGATGTGTGCCTCATTGTTGTTTTTGTTACTGCTGTTGTTGCTGCTGCTGAGCGTCAGTTTGTCGCTAAGTGAAAAGCCAAGCCAAGTTGCTTGAACATTTTTAAAAGCCGCTTTACTTTTGTAAATACTTAACTTTCGCTTGGTCGAAAACTTTTGCCAGCGAAAAAGGCGGAAGGAAGCTAAACTCTGACGAGCATCGACTTGTGCTCTTCTTCGTATTTCCTATTTGGAACTGCATACTATTTTGATATTTTGAAGTTAAATGCTTTTAGCCGCTTTGCCCGAAAAACTTGGCAATAAAGCTTGATAGACTTGTGCTTCGTAGTCCCGACTTCATATCCATCTGACTATTTGTATCTAATGGCATAAGTAACGCAAATAATTAAGCACTAAACAGCTGATAACAAATCATCAATTAAATGGAGCCAATTAAATCTAATGCCACACAGAAATAATCAAAAGAGAAAGAAATGAAAAGAAACTAAGGAAAGCGGCGAAAGAAAAGTGCGCTAATCAGTAAAATGCGCTGCGGGAAAATGTGCGACAAAAGGAACGTGGCCGAAAAACAAAGTGTTCGCAATTTCTCTTTGTGGTCAACCGCCATTAACGTTTATTACACCCTCGCAGCGTTCACAAAAAGCAAAGAGCAATACACTGAGCGAAACGGCCAACAATCAAATAAAAACAATGTGCGCAAAAACAAAACAAAACAAAAAAAATATAATTAAAAATAAACATTACGCAGCGACAGACAACGAGCAGCAAAAAAAAAATAAAAACAAAAAAAAAATAAATAAAAAACAATTAAGTATGTTGCCAATGTATGCTATTGACTGTTTGATACTCGCTCAGAAATATGTTACAATCAATTGCCAGCTAACTTGAGACGTGGCTTAGACTAGCTGGCAAACTATGGAAGATATAGGAAGCTTGGATATAGGTAGGATGTGTTATTAACTTGAAGACACTGAATGCAAGCATTCAGTGAGATAAGTCGATGGAACATTTCCATTCGAAGTTGAACCTATCAGAGACACAATCAAAATTTCTTGCACAAAGCAAAACGTCAAACATTCATCATATACCAATCCATTAGCTGAAGATCACACTTTGAATGCTACAAATCCATTCCCAAAAAACTGAAGAGATCATTCCTATACTTACTTTTTGAAAATCGCATCCAAGTTGTCACATAAAAACAAATTCAGATACTTTGAAAGGTATAAACAGCTCTGAATATATATGAAAACTAACAATCAGCCCTAACTTCACTTGAATTTACATAAAAAGTTCCAAGTTTCCGTCTTAGCCACAGCCAAACAAATAAAACCCATATACCCCAAACAACTCTTAGGCAAGTATACAAAAAAAATGAAATAAAACAAGGAAGCAAACTCAAAGAAATGTGTAATAAAAGGTGAAAATTGCATTGCACAACAGGCGAACGGCCAAGTGGCCGCTGAGCCTGTGCGTTGTCCTGGCCTGGCCAGCAAGTCCTGCCAGCAAGTACTGCGCGGCAGAGGCAGAACCATTTTAGGCGTCTAATTGAGCGTTTTAGTTATGCTAATTGTAGGGGACGCCACCACGGGCAACGCTGCTTTGCCCACTATAGCCCAGCAGCTCATCTTTATTGTTGTCATTTCTTATAAGTATTTCGAGTCCTGCTGCGGCCGAAGGATCATTAACGAGCTGTCCGTTGCGGGCGCTGTGGGCGCGGCGGGCGTGAGTTCTCGGAATGTAAATAATTAATTGCGTAATTATATAGAGCAGCGGAGTAAGCAAGAGTATCCTCTATATTTGATACTGGCGATTAGAGCTTATGATATATTTATATAAGGTGCAGAGCCTCAACAATCTTTTAAGCTGATACAAATATTATATCAACTTTGACGAAAGAAAAATATTAAATTAAATTGAAGCCTTGGAATCTACATAGCATAATATATTTGTATGTTTTATGAGAAAATTTTATAAAAGAAACTTATGTATATTAATAATAAATAAATTAAGGAACAAAAATAATAAAATAAACATTTTTATATTAAATACAATTATATATCTATAAAAAATTAACATAAATGCATATACATATTAAATAACTAATGTGTTTTTCATTCTAAAAAAAAAAACAATTTTTAAAAACATTAAAAATTCTCTGCAAATTTAATTAAATGTATAATAACTTAAAAGAAATTAAATTCAAAATGAATATTTAAAAAAAAAAAACATGAACATTTTAAAATAAAATACATTTTTGTTTAGTCTTTGTTAATGTAGCTGCTTAAATAAATTAGCTTAATTATTTATAAATATAAATATGAAAATGCTAAATAGAATTAATTACTTCTTGTAATTTATAACATTTCAATTTAAAATATAAGAAAACAATATAAAATAAAAATTTACAAAATATTGTCATATATACTTATATATTTAATGCTAAACACAAAAAAAAAATTCAAAATATATTTGCAAATTAATTTATAAAATATAAAAAAATATATAATAGCATATTATTTGGCATTTTCCATAAATACATCTAAACCTTGAAAATTCTCTTTTACTTACTGTACTTTCATTTTCCTTAAACTCTTGCAAATAGACTAAAAATGACTTCAATATTTTCGGTTTTTTTCGTTCGCTCGTTTTTTATTTTTGATTATCTACCGTAAATACTTATCAATTATACAATTTACGTTTCTTATTTCATTTTCATATTATATACAATTACATATATGATTTTACATACATATAGGCGTTTATTTATAGACTTACAAATTAATTGCTCTTCTTCTTTCGTTTTACTCTTTGGGGATTGTGTTATGTATGTATGTATGTAGGCATGTATGTATATATGTAAGTATGCATGTAGGCATGTATGTATGTATTTATGTACGTGTATCTGTCTGTATATAACTTTATATGTTACATATAAATATCAATCATTTATTTATGTATGTATATAAATAATTTTGACTTTCGTTATATAAATATAAATATATATATTTATTTATATATATATAGATAGATATATATATATATATATACATATATATATATGTAAATAATGTAATTGTAGAGAAACAAAGTGAAAAGCTTAGCACATTTTTTTAACTCGTTTTCGTTTTTTCTTAGGTTTCTTTTTCGTATATTTGGTTTTCATAGTGTCTAAATCAAAAAGAGTGAACCAGTTCGCAAGTGGTTCCGTTTTATTGGCTCGGCTCGGCAAACAAAGTAATTCAGTTTGTATTTAAGGAAACCTAGCGATAGGCTCTAGTTTCTTCTTCTTGCCAAAGAATTTTTTATTTCTTTTTTGTGTTTTAAATGCCTTCGAAATGACTTTTTTGAGCTAGCTGAAACTGTTGTCTGTTTGTGTTGAGGATTAAATATTTTAGATACATTTAGCAGTTGCTTGCTGTTGCCTAGGGCTGAAGCCTACTTTGCTGCCTGCTGCCAGTTGCTGCCGCTGCTGCTGCCGTTGCATTGTCTCCTTCCGCTGTTCCTCCCTGAAGTGTGGCACAAGAGTTGCGTGACAATTGAATCATGTTAATTGCCTGATGCATCTGCTGCATCCTTTGCTGCATCCTTTGTTGTTGCTGCTGCTGCTGTTGCTGCTGCTGTCCGTGCAGCTATGCGCCCGCAGGCCTTTGCTCCACTGTAGGTCCTGCTGCGCCCGCATGTGCCTGTGCTTTGTAATCGGCGCCAGCTGCGACACTAATTGCCTGGCCAGCGACCAGCTGAGCAGCGCCAGCAACGTGGCAGCCATGGCCGTCGGCGCCAGCGACGCCGTTGAGCTGGAGGAGGAGCTAACGCCTCGCCAAGCGGCGCCGCCATCCTCTAAACCATCCGCTCCGTCATCTTCTTCGCCTGAGGGTACAAAATGAAAGAGAAAGTCTAGCGAGAAATAGAAAAATGCAGGCCATGTACTCTTTTGCTGTTGTTGTTGTGATTGTTGGAGATGTTGTTGCTGCCACTGCTGTCTTTTGTCTAGGTGCATGTGTGTGCTAATTGGCTAACAGAAAAACTAGAAGAGGAACTTACCCTGCAGCTGGGTCAGGTAGCTGTTCTTCTTGCTGTGGAACTGCTCGTCCTCGTGCAGCGTATACTGGTCATATATCTCATCGGCACTCACGCGATTCCCGCTGGCACCGTTGCCGCCATATTTGCCAAATGGATCCGCCTCCAAAATGGTCTTCTCCGTCGTCTTCCAGTACACATCGTGCAGCTGTGCACTGCAGCGTAGCTATAGACATATTCGATCCTTTATTAGGGCGCTCCAATCAAATTGATTATATTTTTATTGCTTATTTACCTTCAGTTTGCCATTCTCAAAGTGCTGATCGGTCACCACGAAGTGTATGCCCACGATTGAAGTCTCCATCTCGTTGCGTGTATCACGAAGTATTTTATGATGTCGCACGTGCGAGGGATTTACCTGAAAGGTAACAGGTAAATACATAAGTCTAACTAAAAGTCTTTCCTCAACCTGCAGCTTGTTAGAGCACAGACATTGACTATATATTGTACATTTTATTTATTTTACATATGTATTAAATTGTTTTTGCATATTGTAAACAATTTTATATATATACTGTGAAAAATTCGATCAACTTCCTCACAAGCAGATCAAAAAATCAATATATATATGTATATATATTTATATACAACTGTAATACTCTTAGCAAATAACTATTGTCATTAAAACTTTTAACTTGTTCGTGTCCCAAATGTCAAACATTTCTATGAAAATTTCCATTTCTAAGATTTGCTAACTTCTTGGGTTGCTTTCCATTAAAATTCCACTTTATAGTGCAGCTTTTGAGCGCTGCCGAACATAAGCAGCTTATAAGTCAAGGATCTTATTTCTTTGCCTAAACAGTTTACCTAATGTTTAATTTGGCATAAAGTTCTGCTACATGGCGCAACGCATGGCAAATCATATAATAAACGCAGCCAGCTAAATAATTAGCTTACACCCACACACACACGCACAGAGGCACACTCATGCTATACACACACCTCTACAGTTGGGGCACTTCGAGCCTCAGTCCATGGCAAACAATGCTCATTGATGGCGTATAATAGCGGAAGCAACAACTACGGAGCACGGAAACGTTGCCAACAAAACAAAGCGCAAACACACACGAAGGCATCCACACACACACACACACACATATATATATACATATATATATGTATATATACTCACATCTATACACACACACATAGAGAAAACCGCAATTGCGCGTTGGCAGCTAAAATGGCGTTTCACATGAATTTCTTGGTTCAGGATTGAGTTGCCTTTGCTTCTGCCTCAGCTTCTGGTTTTGCCTTCTGAATTGAATGCATTTGGTGTTCGCTCTCGTCGATTGATTGGAAATGCAGTTCTATTCCTGAAATCCCAATACACTCTTCACTCTGCGCCACAGAACTTGGCACAAGAAACCCACAAACAATTAAATTGTAAATTGCAATATAATATTGATTACACTGCTAGAAAATTGTAGTTAATTTGAACTTCATATCGATTTCTATGCTTCTAGCGAGTACAAATGGAGATCTTTGGCTAACAAGTTGCAAGGTACGGCATTATTATAAGCAAAATAGAAACAGCTTTAAGAATTTATTATTGTTTACATTTTTTTCTTTCCCATCTCTCCCTTATCTCTATATAGTTTACATGTTGTCTCTTTCTCTGTTGTTCTCTATTTGATTCTCTCTCCTATCTCCTATCTCCTATCTCCTATCTCCTATCTCCTATCTCCTATCTCCTATCTCCTATCTCCTATCTCCTATCTCCTATCTCCTATCTCCTATCTCCTATCTCCTATCTCCTCTCTCCTATCTCCTATCTCCTATCTCCTATCTCCTATCTCCTATCTCCTATCTCCTATCTCCTATCTCCTATCTCCTATCTCCTATCTCCTATCTCCTATCTCCTATCTCCTATCTCCTATCTCCTATCTCCTATCTCCTATCTCCTATCTCCTATCTCCTATCTCCTATCTCCTATCTCCTATCTCCTATCTCCTATCTCCTATCTCCTATCTCCTATCTCCTATCTCCTATCTCCTATCTCCTATCTCCTATCTCCTATCTCCTATCTCCTATCTCCTATCTCCTATCTCCTATCTCCTATCTCCTATCTCCTATCTCCTATCTCCTATCTCCTATCTCCTATCTCCTATCTCCTATCTCCTATCTCCTATCTCCTATCTCCTATCTCCTATCTCCTATCTCCTATCTCCTATCTCCTATCTCCTATCTCCTATCTCCTATCTCCTATCTCCTATCTCCTATCTCCTATCTCCTATCTCCTATCTCCTATCTCCTCTCCTATCTCCTATCTCCTATCTCCTATCTCCTATCTCCTATCTCCTATCTCCTATCTCCTATCTCCTATCTCCTATCTCCTATCTCCTATCTCCTATCTCCTATCTCCTATCTCCTATCTCCTATCTCCTATCTCCTATCTCCTATCTCCTATCTCCTATCTCCTATCTCCTATCTCCTATCTCCTATCGCCTATCTCCTATCTCCTATCTCCTATCTCTTATCTCCTATCTCCTATCTCCTATCTCCTATCTCCTATCTCCTATCTCCTGTCTCCTATCTCTCATTTATCCTCTCCCACCTCTTCTATCTCTCTCATCCCTCCCATCTCTCCCATCTGCCATCTCACTTATTTACTATATCTCCCCTCTCCTTTCTCGTATTTTTTGTCTCCAATTTCAAATGGTTTTTAAAAGTTTAAGCTTCATATTCATTCATTTAGCCGCAACCGCAGCCAGAACCAATGCAATCCGCTCAAATGCCATTCCATTATCCACCTCAACTGCACATGAGCCACATATACTATAGGCAAACATGCGCCACAGATATGCAGTTCATTATGCACAGGACTTGGCTGAAGTTATTTTAATGAGCTTCAATAAACAAGTGCGTTGAATTGTGCGAATCATGACAAAAATATCGTTGCATACATTTTGGCAAATTAGTTGAGCCCAGAAAACCGAAAGCCAAACCGAAGGCCGAAAGTCAAATGTGTGAGTTACGCCCCAATGCACTTGCTGTGTCTGTTGCGAGAGGGGCGTGGCTGAAAATTGTGTGTGCAACTGAAGAGTTTGCAGCGATGTCATTTTTAGCCGCATTTTCATGTCCGCTGCGTGCATAAAATTTCACTAAATTAGTTGAGCCGTAAAATAGGGCGTAATGGATGGGGCGTGGCATAACAGACAGGGAATCGTTGACTATGTGAGTATGTTTGCCCGGTAATTACAGGGCACACACACACCACTCACACACATTCACACACTCTTGCATAAATTACACACACACACACACACCCACGCACAGCTGACGCTTAAAAACAAGAAAATTGTGTTTTTGCATAATTTGGGACTCACCTCTTCATTATTCACCGTCCATGTGAGATTGGCCGCCGGCCGAGAGTGCCGCGATGTGCAATTGCCACGCAATATGTCGCCGACCCGATATCGCGGCCGGATCCCGGTTATGAATGGCGCATTGTGCGGCGTCTCTGTAAATGCATTGCAAAATGAGAGATGACTGTAAGGTTTTTTTCTTCTTTGTTGTTTTTCTTTTTTCCGGCACTAGTTATGTGCCCCTTGGCCAACTTTGGTCGCCCACACATGGCCATCGACTGTCACGGCGGTCAAATCCACCCATTGTCCATGTGCCCCAAAGGTCTTCATGTCTGGCTATTTTTAAGGCCTTCATTTCGCTGCTATTTTCATTTTTTGTTGTGCGTGTGTTTGTGTGTAATGACAGTAGAGGTCAAATCTCTGCGGTTTCGCGGTCCATAATTGAAATGCTTTTGTAAGCCTGCACGCATGCAGCGCTCATGGCTCTGCTGCCATGAATGAGCCACGAATTCCGATTGTGAACACGACAGAAGTCGTTCCGTTTCAAATGTCTGTATGTTCTCTGCACAGGAAGGCTCTAACAAACAGGCTGGAACCGCTTTGCCATAACACTGAAGGGCTTATGAGCAATCTGTAAGCTTGTCTTTGCTTTTCTCTTCAGGCTTATTAGCACAAAAGTTGGCTTGGAACTAGTTTCAAAAAAGTTCAGAAACTGAATTTCGGTTTAGAGAGATCTTCGAAAATGTAGATTTGAATTGCATATGCATTCATTTTGAACCAGTTTCTATCAGAAATGAATCGTTGCAGTCAAATATAATTCATAAACAATTTAAATCTGATTCATGAAACAGTTTTAAAGTGTCTCAAATCATATGCAAATCAGCTTCAAGTTAAAATTGAAGCAAACATACCTCAGTTTGTGAGCAGATTTAAATAAAATATGAAGCAAATTGAATTTTAAAAAATTTAAAAAGTTGTAATCCCAGCTCACTTGTGAACCAGTTTCAAAACAATTGCTCATCTAAGCTTAAAAGTGTTTCTGAAAATGCTCAAAACTTGGCTTTCAAGCAAAAAAGTTCACACTGATTCCTGAGTAAGCTGTAAGCCAGTTGCAGCTTGAATTGTTCATTTTAAAACTAGTTCAGCTCATGAATTTTATGCAATTTGAAATGCATTTTAACCTAAATTGAATCAGTTTCAGCCAGAGTCAACTATTGGAAGCCATCAAATAGCGATTGGCATTTGTGCATTCAAATAACCTAAGTATGATAAGTAAGTACAATATCACGTGTGCTGATGATGCACCCAAACGACAATTCAATGCAGATGATGCAACAAACTCGACTATAAATAAGTATTTTTCTACTTTTGCATCAAGTTGCTGCAAGTCAGACGGAAAGACGAGCGGCAAGCGACTGTCTAATTCCAGGACAAGGCTGTCATATGTGAACAGGACATGCCCGACCGAGTTCAATTGGACGGGCCAAAGGGACGCCGGACTTGAGCCGATGTCAAGAGTCAAGAGGTTAAAGACCCAACGAATGCCAAAGCTATCTCTGTCTGTGTCTGTGTCTCTCTCTCTCTGTGTGTGTGTGTGTTGGGCGTAACTTAAAAATAAACTTCCAGCTCGTATGTGCGGTCGTATTCAAGCAGACGAAACACAAACAAATTTGTTGGCTCCAGATGAAGATGAAGATATTTAAGCAGCCAAACAAAACTAAGAAATGTATAGAAAAAGCACTCGCAAAACGTTTGAGATGGTCAACAAACTCTTAGACCCAAGTGTGAGTGGCAGCGTCTGAGGGTGTGACTGTGAGTGGGAGTGAGAGTGTGACTGTATGTGTGTACGGATGATTGGTTTAGAAGCTTTGCCAAAGTAGGGGCTCAAATTGGCTGCTCGCCCGCCGTGGCAAACTTTGGTCGTGTCTATTTCATGTTTATATGGCCATATATATGTATATATAAATATATATCTGGGTGTTTGTATATTTCTCAGTCTGTGTGCATTTCCAATTGGAAGCAATTGGTATGTGTGCGGCAATTGGACCAACCGCAAGCCAACAAAACGCAGTCAAACACAGTGGAGCCCCACATTATCTTGTTTTCTGTTTATGGCCAAACATTTGTGGCATACATCATTAAATGCTGCAAAGGTTTATCACAGTTTGCTTAGATCATATAATTAATTATTATAATATCTTTTAATAGCCCAACGTTTATGAGCAAAGCAGCTGTGCGTGCATTGAACTAGACAAACGTCTGAGCACTTTTATAGCAAGCGACTTGGCACATAATAAAATATTTATTGTTATGCTTAGCATATTGTTAATAAGCGCTAACAAGATCAAGTATGAAAAGTTTTTAAAGACTTGACTTGATAATTTTCAAATAAAAACCTTTATGATACTTCTGAAAAGTATCTCTTTAGTAAACAAGAATCTTTTGAAGTAATTGAAGTAATTAAAAGCTTGAGGCAAACTCATGGATAGACTTATAGTAAGTCGGCAAGAGTTTAAAGATTGCTTAATGAATTAATATAAATTCATTTTGAGAGCCAACTTTAATATACATACAACTATAAAAGTTAAAGTTTTGCATTTAACCAGCTCTTCCTTTTATGAATTAAACATCTGTCTTTGAGCGTAAACACTTGACTGCGGGACCTTAACAGATGTCGCCCGAGCTGGTACTCTAGACAACCATAATTTGTTATGAATGAGAATATTTTTATGGCCGTCTGCTTATTAATGTAATGTGTCTGCTGTCTTACCATAAACTGTCTTGAATTTGTCTAGCATAAACAAATTGCAATAAAACAATGATTAAACAATAATTGTTGCTAAATTAAGCAAATGCTTAGCTTCGGACAGATTAAAACATTTTTAAAAAATATAATCATTGAATATATTAAATAGCTAAAAAAATTAAAAATAAAACACGTAAGTAAAAAAATTAAATTAATGCAGTTTATTGCTTTTTTTTTGATTAAAAATTTTTTATGTCTTCAACCAGTTTATTATTTTGTTGTTAACTGATTTAAAAACAAAAAAAAATAACAATAATAAAATAAAAAATTATTTTTGTTATTTAAAAATCAATTTATTAGTCCAATATGTAAGTTTTTTTTTCAAAATAGTTTTGTTTTATCTGCCCGCAGAAATAGCCATGTCAAGCCCATTGCGCTACTCAAACCATTCGTATTCTTCCCCAAGCTCATCTAAACAAAAAATAAAAACATATTATTTCAGGGTAGTCAGAGTACATTGTTTTAATTAAGTTTATATAATAAAGTACGTGTGTATATATTTAACTACAAATCTATTGTCTTGATAAAAGTCAGCTTAAAATTCAGAGGAAATCGTTGATCAAGTTCGACTGTTAACCTAAAGCAGCTCAGTTTTATATATGCAAAATCAGTGAGTTATTAAATTATTTCAATCCATATAGAGCATAAATAGTGAATTTTATTTAATTTCTTTACTTTATATATTTTTTTTCAGCCCTTTTGCCAATCATGTTAAATATTTCCATGTAGCGCAATTGCTGAACAATTGTTTGGCTTCTGTATTTATTTTACTTACCAATAACTTCCAATTCGGCGGCCGCTATTAATGTATGAAATGAGGGCGCATCCGCAGATACTTCGCAACTGTATTTACCGGATGTGGACATTGTTACTGCGTCGAGCACCACTTGGCTCTCGTTCGACGAAGTGCGCTGCAAAGAGAGAGTGAGTGAGAGAGAGGATGTAGAGAAAGACCCTCAAATGAATATGGGAAGTGCCTGACATAAAAGCGAAATACATTTGCTTAAAAAAACACACGGCATAACTATATATACCATACAAATATATATATATATATATATATATATGGAAGTGAGTAAAAGAGAGAGGGGGAGGGGAAGTGTGAGAGCAGCGCACTATCTGAAAAATTTCATAGCAAACGTATCTCGTGCATTTCTGCTGGCTTCGTGTTGAGCTCCTCAATAATTGAGCGGGCGGACAGCAAAACAACAAGTAAGATGCAATGCAGACGAGCGTAGGCGACTGCTTAATGCTTGCTATTGAAATATAGATAAGAAATGGGAAGTCTGCAGCTGACCTTTGTAGATCAAAACTGAGCAAATTTTAATTTAATCGTTGCAGCTGAAATTTTTGCCTGTATGCTATAGAGCATATGATTCCAAGTTTCATCTTTATAATGTTAACATATATGCTCCTTCGATGCTGCCCGAACGAGTATACAAACTACATTGGTTCTGGCTGCGAAATTGCTGAAGCTGGTCAACTTTATGCGGATCTCAACGAATGTTTGGCCCGTTTTTATTTTGTGCATTTCATAAGCCAGCAGTTTATATACCATTTATATATATATTGGATATTTCTACTGGCTGTTGTATTTTTCAAAATCATCAGCATGGTATATAATAAAAGCTGCGCTTGTGTCATGTTTGTCAAATATATATGTATATCTGTATACATATATATCCGTTTTTTTTCTGCTCGCAATTTTGTTCTGTGGCTCCGCACAATATCAAATGACGATAGTGTCGACTGCGTTGTTAAATGAATTATTAAATATTTTATTTGTTCTGTGCAAAAAACGGCACACAAATAAAGGGAATATGTTCTGGCCATATTGAAATCCCAAAGCTCAATCCCAGACTGTGTACAGCGAGTTTTCTATATTAATAAATATTTAAGACCAGCTGATGACATGACCGAATAGCTGCATCAAACCTTTCATATCGTATAAAAATTGTAAAGAAACCTGACAAAAAAAAAAACAAATAAAATATGAACGGATGTCAGCTACACAAAATACGCAAAATTCTGAATACTGTTCACAACAATTATTTTTACTGTTATTTTAAATAGAATTTTGTTTTTCTAAATATTCAAATTTGTTTTTTTCAGACATTTGGCAATTGGAGCACAAACATTTCCATTCCATCAAACTGCAAATTTGTAGTCTTTTTACATTTATTTATATTTAGTTTTCATTTTTTTGTTTTTTTTTTTTTGGTTTTTGCTATTGTCGCTTGGCATAGAAATGTAAATGTAAATGAAAATAAATAACATGTCCATGTATTTCTTTCATATGCCTGAATAATTTCGAAAATTGTGTGTTGCAAGTTAAAAATGCCAATATTTATTGAAAAATATTGCACATTCAAAAAAACCAAAAAAAAAAAAAAAAAAAAAAAAAAAAACAAAACTCCAAGAGTTACGAAAAGGTTGCGGGGGGCAGCGAGAGGGCAGAACCTTTTTTATAGCTCGTAACTGCCATCAAGCGGAAGTTAAAAACCGTGTTTTGATTTGATTGTGCATTGGAATATTTGCTGTGTGTCTCTCTCGCTCTGTGTTTGTCTATCGAACTATGCACCGCTTGAACGCTCGCCCTGCTCCCGTGTTCCAGCCATGACCCTGCCCCGGGTTAAGTGAAGCATTTCAATGCAAATGTTTCACATTGTTGGATTCACGTTTCGTTTAATTTATTTCGATTTTCTATATCATGGCAAAACTTTACACGAATTTAAATTCTAATTGAAGCTTTTTTTTGAGAAATTTTCGGTTTTAAATTCGTTAGCTTTTATAATAAAAATATCCACATATAACACCTGCCAACAAATTTAATTAATTTACGTATTTCTATTATTTTAGCTTCGATATTTAATTCATCAATTAAATGTTTTTAGCTTGGCAACATCAACATCATATCTTATAAAACTTCTTTCTGTTGTATATATTAATTAAAATAAATCATTTTAAGATCAATCTTCTTCTGCAAGTATTTGTTATAGATATTATTGTAACCCGATTGCTTTAGTTAATAAAATGAAATGATGTAAAATATTTCTTTATTTTATCTATTATTTCCATTATTTCTATTATTTCAAGATATTCGAACTCTCTATCTCTCTCTATATCTAATTTTCAGACTAAGAGATATTTGAATCTTAACTTACCCTCACTTTAACACCTGGAAAATGAAACACTTTCATCGGTGGTGTTTCTTTGGGCGTATATCTGTAGAACTCTCTGCGTCCCTTATACCATTTGACTGAGTAGAGGCTGTCGTCCTCGATGTCATAGAAGCATTTGAGCACAGCCTTCTCGCCACGCCTCACTGCATGTGGCACTCGCACTCGCACATCTCTCAGTGCAATCGATAGTTCTGCAAATATAAATGAAATTAAATATTAATTTAAAACAGGGATTGTTTATTAAATCTTTTTGACGACAGCTTCAAAAAGAGGAGAAAAAAATAAACAGAAAAAGCTAAGCAAATAAATCCCTGGGGTGCATTAAAAGGGAATCGCGCGTATTTCTCATATTAAAATTTACTTTTATGTACAATTTGCATTTTATTATCAATTTTGTTTTTTTATTTTAACGACATGGCGAATTATTTATGATGGGCATTTGATATTTTATTTGTGCGCTTTATTAAATAAATCCCAACAGCATTTTATGGACATTCAATCCTCAAACACGTCTGACGTGTGCCCGAAGGGATAGATACGAAAGTGTGTGTGTCTACGTATATAAAAATATATATATGTATATGTATTTTATATATATATGTTTGTATATTGATAAATACCCTTACGCCAGGAATGTGCAAAAATTTATGAATATTAGTTTAATATCAAAATGATAAAAATATAATTGTTACATAAATATTATATATATTTATTAATTTATATTAACAATTTTTACTTTTATATTGGTTTTATTTATCCTTTTAATTTTTTATATATATTTATAATTTTATATTTTAATATAATTAAATTTATCAATTCAATTTAAATTTAAGAAAGTTATTCTAAATTATCTTTCCTATCTATCAGTTATGTTATTTAATCTTTCTATAATCTATACTTGTTCATTTTGAGCCCATAATTTTTGTTGCTTCGCTAAGCCCTTTCCCTATGATTTAATCATGTCACGTATTCACAAATATTCACATTATAATTATAATATACACATCATTTACAAAAACATATACTTATCAATTATTTTATTTATGTACTTGTGAAATGTCTGTTGTTGAAATTTGTACACATGTCGCGACTGGCCCCACTCCGGCCCCCGTTCCCTTCGCTTGTTTATTGTCAGCGCATTTTTAGGCCATCAATTTAACTGCCCTGTCGCAACATTATAAATCAGCATATTACAAGGGTGGCCCCGACCCAACCAGGCCCCACTTTGTTTACTGCCAGCGCGGGTCATAAAATATGCAATAACAAATATAAAATTATTTTTGATTTGTGTCTGATTAAGTGCGATGCGATTAAAAGTATAAAAAATATATAACACCTCGCTGTTTGAATGTCATAAAAACAGTTAATAAAATACGCAATTGTCGAAATTGTCCGAAAGGATTTAATAATGAAATAAATTCCTATATGTTTATGTTTTAATGAAATTATCTTGTTGATTATATTTTAAATTTTATTATTTAATTTCGTCATTTGTTTCTTTCGTGCGGTATTCGGTATAAGAGTGGCAAAAATACCATAAATTCGATTTGGAAATTAAAGTGAAAATAATGTAAAATGCAAAATGATATGATGACTTTTTGTATCTAGCATTTATATATATATATATTGTTGTACCTTTGTACCTCTTTTCAATGCTTTTCTCTTCTATTTCTCTCTACCTATATCTTTCTTCTACAATCTATTTTATTTTCAAATTTTTTATTTTTTTTTATTTTTTATTTATTTTAATATATTTATATTTATATTTTATCACATGTATGTTTATATTTTCATCGCTCCCTCTCCCTAGCGCACTCTGGCTCTCGCTCTCTCTCCTCGCTCTCTCATTTTCCTTCTTCCATCTATCTAGTCCTCTCATGCTGTCTCCCTCTCTCTCTCTTTCTCTTCTGCTACTATTTCATTCATTAACAATCTTAGCATTATTGGCTTTTACTAGAAGTGCAAATTTATTTTCGTACTTTTCCGTTAAGAACCTATAAAACTACTTTATCCTCTTTTGTAATTCCTGTCATTTAACACCACTTTACGCTTCCTGCTGGCCACCGCGCCCTGCTCCCGTGCGCTCTCCCACTTTCTTCCTTCGCGTCAAGACTGTAAAATTGAGGCAGCAAATGAATGTCCAAACAGGCAACACCCGCATGATATAACCAGGGCGAAAGGACTCGAGGTGTGTATATGTGGGTGTACGAGTGGGTGTAAATCCCATCAAATAACTGTAATTGCAAAGTTTTTGCTGCTAGACACGAACGCACGCCTACAACAACACCAGCAGCAGCAGCTGCAGCAGAAGCAGAAGCAATGCACATGCAACTCGTCCAGGTCTCATGAAGGGGTCCTTCTCGCTGGCACTGGCAACGTCTACAATAAATATGAATAACGAGCACAACGTGAGTGGCACACAAAGTAAAAAGCAGCTCACACACATAGAGAGACACTCTGGCAGGGAAATGGCGTCCCTCGACTGATGTCCTTGCCGAGGCGGCGCACGGCTGCAAATATTTGCCTTGTGCTGCGCTGCTGAGGGTCGCAGCATTCGAGAGTGAGTCGGGCATGGGACCAGTGACTTCTTTTGTTTAATCCTTGTTTATGCAACATGCATGCCACATACGCCATAGATACTCAAGCTGTGCCTGTGCCAAGCGACTGTCCAGCTGGAAGCGTGATTTATACTAGCCACAGCTGAAGGTGTTCGAAGAAGAAGTTAAAAGAAAAAAAGTTACCAAAGCAGCAAATGATTTGCTGTCTAGAAAGTGAATAGCAATAGCAGAAATTGGCAACTAGGTGAGTGAATGCGGTGTGAATGATTCAGCATTAAGAGGATTTAGAAAAGGTAAGGAGCAACCGCTAAGAGTTAAATATTATTTTTAAAAAATTAATATACGTTAACAATATAAACTAAAAAACAAAGCTGGTTTAGAAATCCCTTAGTTAAAGTTTGAGTTAAAACTTTTCTTTAACTGGAAAATCCCTCAACTTTTAATGTTTCAAAGACTTTGCAGTTAAAAAGCAAGGAGAATACCTATTTATACATATGTATAAATGCTTTTCCCACTTTTATTTTGCTATAACCGAAATTATGACACTTGCTGCTTGCTAACTTCTAATTAAGTAGTTCAGTTTGAAGCTGAAACTTGAAAGGCAAATTTGCCACAGCTAATTGAAACCCGAAATAACAAAAGAAACAAACTAAAAACTAAACCTCTGAGTTAAGCGAACTAACTTGACCTGCAGCCACAGTCTTAATATTAGACGCCTCTCTCTCCCTCTCTCTCTCTCTTGCTCTGTCTCTCTTTGGCAAATCTGTCCACAGCAGCCACATAATTTTGTTCCACATGAACTCTTAAGAATCAACATTTGCCTCAATGACCTGCAACGAACTTGCTACAAATATATATATACATACATATTTAAGAGTATATTCTCAGTATACCTAAAAAAGAAGAAAAATAATAATTAAAGCAACTATAAGTTTTTGAAACTTTGGCCTGGCCAAGTTTATGAACTTTGCTTAGATTGTTGCACAACATCAAGTTTCGCAGTTCCGCAGTTGCCAGGAGATGGCATTTAAATTTTCTATTAGCAGGCAGCCAACTGCCCCTTCGAGCATAACTTCAAGTGCAGCCAGAGCAGGTGCAATGGCCAAAAAACTATGGCGCAGCCAGGACTGTGATGGTGGCGAGGGCATTTGGGCTCTTATCGGCAGCTGCCATTTCACACTTGTGGAGGTTGGCTTTTTGGCGTCTGGCTACGATGGCTCCACTGGCGCCAAATACATCATAATTTGTCGTGACATTTGAGCCATTAAAAATGTAAAATCGCATCAAAGTGTAACTCGATGCGGGTGCTGCAGATTACGCCAGCAGCACAACCGCCCCCATAAAAAAGACAAAGCACCCCAGTCTGCCGCATTTACCAACACTATTAGTGTCAGCAGCTGACAGCCTCTCACTTTGTGGAGCAGTCATTATTCAATCAGATTGAACTGTAAACAATAGAGATGAGCACTTGTTCAAGTCAAGCCAAGCGATAGTTTTCAACACGAAAAATGTATGTTGAATATATTTATGAATATGTGTTTTATTACATTTACAAACTTGAGCATGGTTATGCCGAAAATTGTTGAATAAGATTGAATAGCAGAATAGAAAGTGATCTTCAGCATTTCAATTCCACTGAAAAACGATTGGAATGCAATTTACTCAATACCAAAGCATACAAATATATACAAAGAAATATACCAACTTACTGGAAACTTAACTTCCTTATTGTTCAAACTAAATCCACAAATTTGAGTATTTCGTATGCTACTACTTCATTAATCTATCGAAAAGTTAAGGTACTCACTCACACAATGTTCACTCTCCAACCTATAGCATTTGGTGCAGCTACGGTCAGTGTTTCTTAAGCGAGCACTCACACCAATACAATAACAAATAAATAAGATAATTCTTTCGCAGTGCTCGCACAACAGGATCAAACAATAAACAAAATGAGCATATGAATTTCCCCTCCCTTTCTGGCGTATAACAATTCTCATTCGAGTGAACTTTTTTACAGAGTAACACAGTTGCGCTTTTAGCGTAACTTTTATAACCGTTTCTAATTCAAAGTGCACTACAATAATCCTCTCAATTTAATCACTTTACGCTTTTTGTGTGTCATTTAGTGAATTATATGCTCCTTGCTACAAAGGAGAAGAGAACAGTAATGCTATTATGCATGTTGGGAGATAAATGGGACAAATCATTAATAAAAAGTTGATGAGCTTGAAAATCGGCTTGGCTTTGACAATATATAAACTTATGTAAGGAACTATCAATTGAAAGCTTTTCTAGTCAAAATGATATTTTTTAATATTCTTTATAGTTGATTATATATTTTATGTTGTTTACTGTTTTTTATGTTTATATTTACTATATAACTGTGTAATTTATTTTTGGTAGTAATTCTTTTATGGCCGTGTGCTCATCTCTTTTCAGCGACCTGCCGTTGTTGCTGCTGACTCACTGACTTTATCAGCCGTTGGTCGCCCCCTCAGCTTCCAGTGACTGTTTATTCAGGCAGACTTGACGCCGTCGCGTCTGGAAGCTGCTGCTGTCCGAGGGTGAAGGCGTGTGCAAAGGCGACGAAGAGAGAGAAAGAAAAAGAGAGACAGCAGGAGGAGAGGGTA